ACTCTCTCTCCCTTCTCTCCTGCCCTCTGTCTCATCTCTCTCACATCCCCTGTCTCCTCCCTTTCCTCACTCTCTCCTTTCCTCCCTCCCTTCCCCCGCCTCGCATTCCCTCCCTCACCTCTCCCTGTCTCTGTGTTCCTCTGTCTCAGGTAAGTGGTCCCTGATCTGTGCTGGCAGATGGGGAGGGAGGCGAGCCTGGGGAGAAGGGGAGCCTGGGTCATTTGGGGGAAGCCTTTGGCCCCCTGTGGGGAGAGTCCCCGTGGTCCCCAAGTGTAGCAGGAGACCAGGTAGAACGAGAGGTGTGGCCTGGGAACTGCCTCAGTCCCTTTAGCACCTCAGACTCTGGAAGACAACAGTGTACCTGCCGTCCAGAACTATAGGGAACTCTGGCCACCACAGGGCTTCGCACTGCTCACAGAGCAGACCCAGGAGGTGTGAGTCCGTAAGTCAAGCTGAGGGAAGAGCCCCTGGCCCAGCTCTCCTCTGGAATCTGGTTGTGCCTGCAAAGAAGGCAGGGGAATGGGGGGATGCAGACCTCCAACCTGGGCGCCACAGGCAGCCAAAGGGCGCCTGAGCCCCCGAGGAACTTTCCCTTCAAAGGCCATAATCTCTGCCAAACCCAGTGCCAGTGGGATAGACTTGGGACTGGGCTGCTTGTCTTGGGCTCCGAGCATGTGAGTTCAGAGAATCGGGGTCTAGGCAGCACCTACTGGAAGCCTTGGGTAGGTGTGCAGCCTGGGGTCTGGAGAGAGGGAGAAACCAGTGTTTTGGGGAACCCAGCAGCACAGAGGGTTTCCATCAGTTCTCAGAAAGACGGATCCTGCCCCAGAATAAAAACCATTTTGTAGAGTCCAGAATATTTGAATCCAGGTCTTTTTTCCCCCACTGGAAATAGGTTTTAAAAGCTAATTTCTCTCCCTCCTTTCTGAGGACTGGCCCAGCTTCTCCCTTTCCTGCTACAGCAGTTTCATGGTAAAGTGCCTCTCACCTCTGCCCTGCACCCCTGATGAATGCCCTGAGCAGCAATGGCATTCCCCTTCCTAGGTGCGGCCCTGAGCCCCTAGAGAGGGTCATGAGGGTCTAACCCAGGTGGAAGGAGCCCCAGCAAGGGACATCCCCTGATCCAAGAAGGGGGTGCAGGTGGTGAAAGGGAAAAACCACATGGCAGAAGGAAGTTTGATGTGAAACTTATTATGTGAGCACTGGACCCAGCCCCGAGGGGAGAGTGGGTGAGTGTGGCCTCACTGGAGCCTCAGGGCTCAACATGGCAGCAGAAACAGAGAGGTGTCGCTAGGTTGCGGGCAGACCCACTGGTTGGAGGGGCTATTGCTGGGTGACGGAAAATGGCCCCAACAGGAGGGAGCTTAGGAACAATCTACTCTGGAGGTACCAAGAGTATGAAGAGATCTGGACACCCTTCAACCTCGTGTCTGGGGGTAGGAGGTTGCTACCTTTGCTGGGATAAAGCAGTATGTCTTCCCCAGGGGCCAGGAGCAGAGATGAGGTTTGCTCATGAGGTGCTGATGAACCAGCACTCTTTTCTGGATTTTAGCTGTGTGTGCGTGCACGCGCGCGCACGTGTTTGGGTCATCTGATCTTTTTTTCATGATAAACCAATCTTGATCAAGTATTTTTCTGGACCAACTTACCTTCGTATCAGCTCATCTTTATTCATTCATTTTTAGCTAATTACAGTTTGGGAGGTAACATATAGCTAAATATTGACTTGCAGACTGACAGAATTCTCTCACTGGAATTTTCACCAAGAGTGATGCACAGTCACAGCTACAAAGCATCTTTCCTTAACCTACCCTCACCTGGTGGCAGCACCCGCAGATGGGTGGTGCTGGGGATCACTCAGTGCCAGATTTAGTCTGGCCTTGACTATCTCTGACAGCTTTAAGGGAGAGAGCAGTTATCTCCATGTAGAGGTGAGATTTCGCAGGCAGGAATTTCCTGTGGATTCCACCTGTGGCTCCTACATGTCTCATGATATGGGGCACGGTTTCTGGGACCAGGCCCAGGAGAAGACGACCCATACGAGATTCCATGATGGGCCCTGCAGCAGTGTCAAGGTTAGGATCAAACTTCTTTCCAAACACAGACTATGTGGTCCAGCTTCAGACCAAGGAGCGGGGGCATAAGCAGGTGTCATGTTCCACGGGTCCCAGGCCCCTTGTTAGAGTATCTCTGACACCAGGGCACTAAGGAAAGCAGGTGGGGAGATGGGGTCCCAGGGGCTGGCTGGGGATGGAGGGGATTTGTGCATAGCTAGTGCAAGGCTTGCCACATCTCCACTACCCACAAGCCCCAGGCTGAGGCTTGAGCTGCTACAGCCTCTAATGGTTCACGTTCAGTGCTCCCTGGCTTCCTCAACTTCAATCCTCTGTGGTGAGCTATGGCCTCAAGGAGAACCAGGTCAGGACCATTCATGCCCTACACTTAAAGAAGTTTCTCATACACAGTGGCTGGGGAGGCGGGGGAGATCAGGCTTTTCCTGGGTTTCCTCTGGGGGTTGCAAATCCTCTCCAGGTGCATAATTCCCGGCCCCCAGTAGTCATTCCAGCCCCAGCTTGGTTGCCCTGCTACAGAGAGAGATTGGTCTCCTCTCTGGCTCTCTCCCCTCCCGCCTACCTTTGGTTCCTACACCTGCCGAGGCAACGCCTGTGTGGCCTCTTCCTGGGGGCAGCTGTGGACTGCTATGGGTCTTCCTGTGCAAAGGGTTTCCTACTCGGGACCTCATGATATCCAGGATGGTGACCCCAGCTCATGTAAGCACAGCACTTCACAGTGTAGATCTCAGCCTTGTGGCTGTCCCAGGAAACAGATCATCCCCATTTCCTGGATGAGGATGGTGAGGCAGCAGTAAGTGGAGCCATGATGCTGAACTTGGAACGTTCCATGCCGTGTTAGGCTGAGGAAGTGCCCTGTCAAGGTACGGGGCAAGCAGAGTGGGGCTGGGGTCATCTTAGAAGGCCAGCTCTGCTCTTGGGGGCTTTCAAAGCCCGGCTGCCTGACTTTGAGTTGATCTCATTGTGAGTGAATTAATTGTTGTGCAACCTACAGTGTGAGACAAGTTAATTACATAATTACTGCAAAATGACACGTTATTTCATGGCTGCAATATGGTAACTCTGTTGGAAACAATTGTAATTGCCCAGAAACTGCATTCGAGTGGCTCCGTTATCTCTCGATAACCATGTAATTAACTTGTTACAACTTTATCTGCAGCAGACTCCAAAGTTAGGACTTGGGTCCTTGGGGTGGGCACAGCCATCCTAGACATAAGGGCCCAGCCCAGGGAGGGTCTGGCATTGAGGGCTCTGCTACAGTCCAGGGAAATAATGTACATGCTGAGCGAGAAAAAAATCCCTCATTACAGACTCCAGCCTCAAGCTCATGTGCTCAAACCCATTCACAATCTCACATGGTCACACACAGACGACAGCTCCCTGGTCTCGCCAGACCCACTCAAATATACCCACCAGACTCACTCAAATATACCCACTGCAGCCTCTCTTTTCTCTCACATACACGGGTGTGGGTCCTTCATAGAAAGTGGGAGCCCCAAAGTAGAAAACTCCTACCCCAAGATCCTTGGCCCTAAAGATCCCTTCCCACGGACTGGACCACTGGCCACAAAACCATATCTTGGAGATGTAGCCTCCTCCAAGCGCCCATAAGAGCTCAGCCATCCTCCCGCTTCACTCAAGTGGAGAAGCAGGCCCGGGGGCAGGTGACGTGAGATGGCAGCGCATCCCTGCTTCGCCCAGGCAGCCAGTTCCCTGCCCAGGAGCAGGCAGAGGCTGAGGCTGTAGGCTGACTCCATCTGGGCTCTGGTCTGTGGCCAGGATGAAAACCATCCCTGGGGAAGGAGGAGTGAGTGGCCTGATGGTCAGGGGAGCCTGTCCATATAGCCTTCTCTGTTCAGGCTTTGGACCCAAGGAGCCTCTCTCTTTAATACTGTTCAGTGATACCTTTTCAGTTCCAGGCTATGTGCTCGGCACTATGGCTTCAGCCATGACCAAGACAGCATCCCTGCTGCCCTGGGTGAGCCTAGCTCAGCCGCTGGATGTCTGGCTGCCTTCCAGTCTGAGTACCTGCCGGCTTTCTGTCTGTCCCTACCTATCTCTGCCTACACATCCATCTACTTGTGTGTCCATCTCTCCTGCTTGCCAGTACACGTATGTGTCTGACTGTGTGTCTGTTGACTTGTCTGACTCTGCAGTCGTCACAAATGGTCTCATGTCTGCTGGAGGGAACCAGCCTGTCCCAGGTCTCCCCATGGTGGTCATCCTCACCTTGATGTGCTCTGTTTGTTTTCCTGGCTTTCCCACTTCTCCTCAAGGGCACGGACTGTGTCCAGTCCATGATTCATCCTTGTGTCTGGTACTTGCAGCGCAGGGCTGAGACAGACAGATTTGCCAACTGAATGAACGAAAACCTCCCGCCTGCGTGGGCTGAGTTAACAGGGAAACAGAATTGTTCTCACTCATCCAGGGACGCAGAAAGGCAGACCCCAGGTTGGGCCCAGGCTGTAAGGAAGAGACAGCAAATGCTGTCCGTGCCCACGAAGAAGGTTAAGAGGGGTTTAAGAATGGTGCTCCCATGGCAGGGAGCTCAGGATTTGGGGTCCTACCATGGAGGTAGACCAGAGCTGGGTCCCTGTCTGGGCAGTCTGCGGGGGTTTCAATGGTGGATGTAACACAGGAGCCCAGGGAAGGGAGGTTTTCATCTTGAGGGCCAGGATATATGCTCTGCCAGGGGAGGGGGAGGACACCCTAGCCCCACCTTCTGGCTGAGGGGGTGCTTGGGGTTGTCCCCTCCCTTCCAACTTGTTCCCGCTAAAGCCCACCTGGAGCCGCCCTGCCGGCTACAGCACACACTAGAGCCCCAGGCACCCCCCCACCACCACCAAGGACCAAGGGGAGGGTCTTGTTTTACTCCCAAGCCAAGGGGAGGGGCCCCAGGTCTGTGTCAGTCATGTGATCAATGCAGAATAACCTCCCCGGAAACATTCATAAGTTTAATCCACGCCAGTAATAAAATCGCATTACATTTCTCATAAAATAAATGTTCCCATTTATATACAGAAGACAGACTGTACAGGCCCAGCCTGGCCCCAGGAGGGGTCACACACAGACGGGCGGCACTGGAGGAAGGGCTCTTCCTCCCATCGAGGACAGAGGAGCTGTAATCAGCAGGAGAGCGGCTGGCCGGCCGGGCGGCTGGGCGGGTGGGCTGGCGGACGGGTGGGCCGGGCGGCCAGGCGCCGGGCGTCACTGAGCCTGGGGCTCAAAGGTGCCATTGAGGTGCCCCTCCTCATAGTCCATCTGACACAAGATCATGTTGTTCTTCAGGAAGAATCTGTCTCCCACACAAAACCTGGAAAATCCAAGCAGGAGAGACAGGCCATGGAGGGCTCCCAGTGGACGGCGGCGGCTCCAGACAGGGCCCCACCCAGCCCAGGAAGTGGACGTGTGGGAAGTGAGGTCCCGGGGAGCCTGCTCCTCGAGCTTTCCAGAGGGGATCCCTGAAAGTCTCTCGGCCAGGCCCTGCAGCCTGGGGTGTAAGACACACAGATAAGCCCGGGCCACAGCCCTTCCACATAGTCAGAGCTCCTGTGGAGGTGGGAGCAGGGCTGGGGTCGGAGGGCAGGTGTAGAAATAATGTACCTCAGTGCCGGAGAGGGAGAAAGAGAGGAGGAGCAAAGAAATAGGAGACCAACGGAGGAGGGGGAAGGAGAGAGGCAGAGATGGAGCACGAGGAAGGGATAAAATGGCTGCCTTTTCCAACCCTCTGTTCCCCCTCCCCAGCTTAAGGAAATGGCTCAGGGAAGGGCACTCTTCCTCTAAACAGAATCTGTGGGTTTCCGGGAACATCCTTCCAGGAGGAGGTGACCCTGTCCCACCATCTTCCCTCGAACCCAGAGAAGGCCCTGCTTTGCCTCTCTGCCCCTCCCGGTCCTCCTCAAGCACTGCAGGACTCAGCCCTTCCCCCAAAGGCGTGCCCAGGGTGTCTGAGGCCTGTAGTGGGACCCCAGGGTCACAGGCTCAGTCCCAGCAGATCCCACTTCAACCACCAGGTGGCGCTGCAACTTCACCGAGCCCTCCAGGCAGTAGGTCTGGGCAGAGCCCCAGCCAAACCAGCACTCCCTGCAGGTCCCTCTGGACCTCACCCTCTGGGAACACCTGTATGAACTCCTTCCTCACCTGGGGGCTCCTGAGGAAAGGGCCTGCCTTCTGGGGCCCGGCCCCCAGCCAGGGTTGAAGCGCTCTGGCTCCTTAGGTCCCTAGGGTCTCCCATGGGGCTCGGGGCACAAAGTAGGGGCCGGAAGACCAGAAACAAGGCTGGGCTGGAACCAGAATCACAGAAGTGAGTGACCGTTCCCCAAGGGGATTTCACCCTCTAGGTCTGGGAACCCTTTTTCGCTGGAATGTCCATGTGTGCTCCTGCATGTAGCACACACACACGGCACAGGACATGCATACAGAACCCTTGTGCACACACATTTAAAACATACATGCACAATACATGCATGGGACTCCTCTGGTGGCGCAGTGGTTAAGAACCCACCTGCCAATGCAGGGGGCACGGGTTCGAGCCCTGGTCCGGGAAGACCCCACATGCCGCGGAGCAACTAAGCCTGTGTGCCACAACTACTGAGCCTGCACTCTAGAGCCCGCGAGCCACAACTACTGAGCCCACATGCCACAACCACTGAAGCCCGTGTGCCTAGAGCCAGGTCTCTGCAACGAAGAGAAGCCCCCACAATGAGAAGCCCGCGCACTGCAACGAAGAGCCCCCACTCGCCACAACTAGAGAAAGCCTGTGTGCAGCAATGAAGACCCAATGCAGCCAAAAATAAATAAATAAATATATTAAAAAAATAAAAATACATGCATGGACACTACACACACTGCACACAGCTCATGCATGGCCCTGTCCATTACATTTGCACAGAGCTGTACTCCACAAACATGTACATGCGGTACTGGAGGGCACACATTTGGCTACAGGGCTCAGGTGTACATAAGACACACACATGAACATACACGCTCACAACAACATGCACACACAGAACCCGCATTTGCATGCATGCCTCCATGGCACTCCTGGTGTATGGCAGCAGGTGTCAGCTGGGGTCTGCTGAGTGTGTTGGGTCTGTTACCGGCCAGCACTCACCTCTGGTTGCAGAGCTGGCAGGCGAAGCAGTCGAGGTGATACACGTTGTCCCGGGCCCGCATCACCATCTCGAAGGCTGGAATCAGCTTGCTGCAGGCAGCGCAGTTTCCTGTGGTGCCGAAGAGCCTGCAGAGGGAAGGGTGCAGAGGGCTCAGGCACCTGTTGGGGTGGTGTTGGGGGCAGGGGAGTTGCCTCCATCCAGGGCCCCACCTGCCCTCCCCCTGGTTCAGCAGGAGGGCCTGGGCAAGAGGGAAGGAGCACAGATGACAGTGTCTAGATTCTGCTAAAAGAGAAGGCTTCAGAGAAATTGGCGCATTCACCCAGGAAGGAGACTCTGGGGACCCAGGTGTTGGCTGACACTGCCCGTCCCCCGGCTTCACTGACCATGCCCCCTCCCAGGCTTCCACTGGAGTCCCTCAAGCACCTGAGGTCACCAGAAGAACACTGGGCTGGGCCCTGAGCAAGGACTCCAGGCTTACACAAGCCTGAATTTAGAGACAGTCTGTTGATCATGGGCTGTGTGTCCTCAGGCAAGTTACTGAGTCTCTCTGAGCCTCATTTATTTCAACAGTAAAATGGGGACCATGATACATTCCTCACAAGTTTGCTGTGAAAACTGTAACCTCTCAGTCACAGCTCCTTTAGTAAATGCCTATGTAGCGTTTGCTATGTGCCAGGCGCTGTTCTAAGGGCTCTCCAAAGACCAACTCATTTAATCTTGACAACAACCCTATGGGGTGGTCTTTTTCTGCTACCAACTCATGGTATGACTTGCCTAACTCCCTTTTCTTTTTTTCTTTTTTTTGCGGTATGCGGGCCTCTCACTGTCGTGGCCTCTCCTGTTGCGGAGCACAGGCTCCGGATGCGCAGGCTCAGCGGCCATGGCTCACGGGCCCAGCCGCTCCGCGGCATGTGGGATCTTCCCGGACCGGGGCACGAACCCGTGTCCCCTGCATCGGCAGGCGCACTCTCAACCACTGCGCCACCAGGGAAGCCCTAACTCCCTTTTCTTGAACCTCAGTTTATCCTTCTTTAAAATGGGAAGGCTGGACTAGATGATCCTGTTCAAAGGTGCTTCTAAAACAGGACTGATGCCAAAAGGAAGTTCTAAGGCCATCTGGCACAACGCCTCTTTGGGGCAGGCACCCCTCCTCTTAGCTGCTGGTTGCAAAGCTCTAAGGACAGGGAACTCACTCCTTCCCCATGTAGGCCAGTCCTTGGCTGAATGTTCCAAGGGTCTGAGCCAGCCAGGCCTCTGCTCTGCAGACTGGCAGAGCAAACCCCAAGTGAGGCAAGGGGGCTGAGAGGCGGGCGGGAGGCCCTCTAATCCCTGATTTGTCCAGCTCAAGCTTGGGCGCCTGCAAATGAGCTTGGCTCCATTATTCATCAGCCTGAGCTGCCTGGTGGCTCAGATTAAGGCAGACAAAGGCCGGGCCAACAGCATCTGCTTGCCAAGAGGGGCCTTTCTGGCCACCAGTCCAATGAGAAGTGACTGCAGAGAGGCAGGCTCTGGACAGCCATTCTCTGGGGCTGAGCAGCTCAAGGAAGCCCCACACCCACGCCCACCCCGGCCCACTGGCCCACCAGGCCCCGAAGTCATTCCTGAGCCTCTGCCAGAGTCCAGGAGAATACCTTCAGGCTCCAGGAGCTGGCAGGGCCCGGGATGCTTGTGGGTGCATCAGCTCTGTAGATGAGCCCACCCTGTACTGTGGCCGTCCCGCTCCAGGTCCTGTGGACTCATCAGATGGTCTGTCACCTCCCCTCAACCTGGTAGGTTCAGCCCCCAGGTGATGTCCTAAACCTCCAGACTTGGAGACCCCTTCCAGGTTGCCGAGGGGTGAGTCCCCAGAAGCATCCTTAACCCCTCCTCCTGGCCTCAGCATCTCTCCTCCAGCCCCAGTCAGGAGCACTGAGTCACACATCCTGGTTTATAGCACCACTTAAAAAAAAAAAAAATACTCCTGCAAAGGCAGAAGTTAAAAGAGAAGGTGCAGGCAAGTAAACCTTAGGCTCTTCCGGGAAATAGGGGAGCCTCTGCTGATAACCCCGCCCTCCCCCCCCCCCCCCTTAGGCTCTTCGGGGAAATGGGGGAGCCTCTGCTGATAACCCCGCCCCCCCCCCCCCCCCCGCCCCGACATGCCCAGTCCTGAGCACAGGGAGCCCCAAGAAGCCTGGCCATGACCTACTAATTAAGGCGATGGGCCTTCCTTCCCCGTAAGGCCCTGCCACCACCCAGCAGCCTGCATGGGAGCCAAATGCAGATGCTGGGTCTCAGCCAAGGCCCCTGCTTTGTGGCCTCCTTCCAGCCTTGCTGATGTCATAGATGGCCTAAGGGAGGGTTAACTGGGGAGGAGGAGCCCCGGGGAATAGGATCCAGGTTGTGGAGGAGGGTGGGTCAGAGCTCTGAGGAATGCCAGGAGGGGAAGCGGGAGTCTTTTCACCATTCATAGAGGGGTAACCTGAGGTGGGGGAAGAGCTTCGGGACTAGCTCAAACCCAGGTCTTTAAGTTCCAGCATCGGTAGCTCTTCTTCTAGGGTCTGGCTACCTAACAGGCTCCCCAGGCGTGGGGGTGTTTAATCCCAGGGCCCACCTGGAAGATGGGGAGCTGGGCCCTGGGGAGATTGAGAAGGAGACCGTCAGGCCAGAGGGGCCCAGGGAAGTCAGAGCTTCCCCACCTGCTCCTGGAAGCCCCTCCAGGGCATCCCTTCCTAGATTTCAGGGACGGGGTGGGTCAAAAGCACCTGGCAAAGGCAGGGCCAGAGCCAGACTGGTGCCCTCGGGAAGCTTCTCTTGGGTACCCAATGGTAACAGATGTGCCCACCCAGGACCCGTGCTGGGCACTGAGTCCAAGGGGCGGGGCAGGGCAGGGCAGGGCAGGGGTGGGGATGAGTGCAGGCAGGATGCTGGGGCTAGAGCAGGGCAGAGCGGTGCCAGCCTTGGAGGATGGGGCTTTCTGAGCAGAAGGGCTGGGGGGCAGATGGGGTGGGAGGCCGCCCACCTCAGGTAGTCGCGCCGGCACAGGATGAGGTTGGCCTTGGTGTACAGCGTGGAGCCCACCTCGCCCAGGCGGCAGTCACAGCAGGCGCACTTGAGGCAGTCCTCGTGCCAGTACTTGTCCAGCGCCTTCAGCAGGTAGCGGTCCTTGATCTTGCGGTTGCAGCCCGCGCAGCCCTTCTGCTTCCCTTTGGGCTGGACGGAGAGCATCGGCATACCTGCGGATGGACAGACAGATGGACATGGTGGGCCCTGTGGCTCCCACCTCAGGGTACATCCCTCTGCTTCTCTCTGCTGCCCCCTTCCAGGAGCCCTCCCTGTCTCCCCAGCAGCTACCTCCCCTGGGCCTGGGTCCCGCCCTGTGTGGCCTGCATGGCACGGCCTCCTCCCCTGCCCCGTGAAGGTCCTCCAGAAGCTGCGGGAGCCCCACATCTGCTCTGCTGCAGGGCGCACAGCTAGTCCTCAGGCCCGCCTCCCTGAGTTGTTCCTCTCCTTCCAGCCACTGCCCCCTGTGCCGTGGGATCCACGGTAGGCCTGAGGCCTCCTCATGCAGCCACCATCCATTGGCTCTTTCGGCAGCCCTGAGAATGGAATCTCGGGCTTGGGGTCCACTAGAGCTCCCAGATCTTTTTGCCACCTCAAGACTTCCTCACACTGCTGTGTGCTTGACCATTTTAACCTAATACGTCAGGCTACAGCCTCTTGATTGTGGAGGCGTCAAGAAGAAAGTGAGGGCTTCCCTGGTGGCGCAGTGGTTAAGAATCCGCCTGCCAATGCAGGGGACACGGGTTCAATACCTGGTCCGGGAAGATCCCACATGCCGCGGAGCAACTGAGCCCGTGAGCCACAACTGCTGAGCCTGCACTCTAGAGCCCGCGAACCACAACTACTGAGCCCACGCACTGCAACTACTGAAGCCCGCGTGCCTAGAGCCGGTGCTCTACAACAAGAGAAGCCACTGTAATGAGAAGCCCGCGCAGCACAACGAAGAGTAGCCCCTGCTCGCTGTGACTAGAGAAAGCCTGAGCGCAGCAACGAAGACCCAACGCAGACAAAAATAAATAAAATTTTAAAAATAAAAAAATTTAAATAAAGGAAGAAAATGAGATGCCCCTGTGATACTCCCAGGGGGCAGCAGGAGCTCTGGAACTCCTGGTCAGTGCTTGGGGAGGTAGCTGGGCCTGGCCTAGTTGACGCTTTCCTCAGGAATGTTTCTAGCTAGATTCAAACTTCCTACCTGCCCTAGCCTGAGGAAGGGGAGCATCGGTGCCCCAGCATCCTTGCTCATCCTACCAGGATAAGAATCTTGGAGACACTGGCCCTCTCCCAGGGCCCATATGAGCTTCCCGACATACAAGGAAGTGGTAAGTACAAAAGACAGGAATCGTAGCATGGCCTTGACCGGAGGGAGGGGCAGACCTCCCACCAGGCAAGCATGTACACTCACGCATACCCCGTGCACACAGGCAAGGTGTGCAGGCGTGGGCATGTGTGTGCACAGAGGCACAGGCTCCTCCTAGCCCCCGGGCCCTGACGCCATAGGGAGGGGCAGTTGAGAAGGAGGTGGGGACAGATGTTGTCTGGGAACCTGGACGTCCACGTGGAGTCCTGAGGCTGAGGGTGGTGAAGACTAGGCTTGGAGGGAAGTGCGGAGAGTCTCGGAGCCCAGCTGGATGGTGGGGTTGCCTTGCACTTGTCTAAGTCTAAGCGACCCTCACAAGGGCTCAGATGGGTTGAGGGGTCACCACTGAGGGGAACAGCCCGCGCCCTCCTGCCTCTTCCGTTTTCCAGCAAGCCCCCAAAGACTCCCTCCCCCTGGGCCCAAGGTCTCCACAGGACCCCTGCACTCTCCAGGGCTCTGGGTTCAGCTCCCATTCCCTGGCATTCCTCCTCTCCCTCCCTCCCTCCCCCTCACTGCCCCCAGCCCGGAGTCAGAGCTCCTTCCTTTCCCTTCTCTCTTCTGGGTTGTGACCCTTCCTCAGGCTCCAGGAGAGAACCAGCTTCCAAAGAACCTCAGTCTCAGGATCCACAGATGTCAGGTGAGAGGGGCCCCCAGAGTTCATACAGGCAAATGCTCTCATTCTACAAATGGGGGAACTGAGGCCCAGACAGGCCAAACAGCTAGTGTAAGCCACTGATCAAGCTGGCCTCTGGGGTTCTTCCTCCCTCCTATGCTCTGTCTCAGCCTCGCTGCCTCCTCAGCCTTCTCTTGGAGAGGGGGCGGCCCCCCAGCACCCAGGAGCAGCAGGACAGGTGAGGGCAGGAAGGAGGCAGCGCATCCACCCTCCTCCAGTGCCCGCGGGGCCCATCTGTTAGCTGGGAAGTTTGCTGCCTAATTTCCTTAATGCAGCTCTACAGGTTGATTGGTCTGAGAGAGTGAGGGGGCTCAGGCCCGCCTGTGTCTCCTCTGACAGGGGCCAGCCCAGTCACAGAGCTCAGGGGAGCCCAGAGAGGCTGCTGGGGAGCAGGTCCACGCGAGAGCTAAGGGGGGCCTGAGAGGCTCCTTCCTAGGCCTGGCCTACAGGGATCAAACGGGGGAGGGGTTCAAAGAGCTGGATATGGAAAGGTCTGGGGGCTCCCAGGGTAAAACTACTGTCCCTGGGGCCTGTGGAAGGGGCACCCAGCCAGCATAGCTATGCATATACCTTCCAGCTTGGAAAACCCCAGACCAAGCCTCTCTCTAGTCCCCCCCACGGCTGATTTTCCCCTTGCTCCCCAGGGCTAGCAGCAGGCCTGGCTCCCTTCCCAGCAGCCCTGAGCCCTCCCAGGGCTCTGTACTTGTGCTGTCGCTGGGAGGGGGGTGAGTGGCTGGAACATCATTACTCAGGGGATACATCTGGCCCACTAAGTTATGCCCCCAAATGAAGGGGGATCCCAGCACTAGGAGCGTCTGTCCTGCTCCATCTTCCGTCTGGCCTGGCTCCTAGAGAGGCTGAGCCTGCAGGGCTATGGACCACATGGTAGCAGGTAATTCCATCACCAGTGGGACCGAGCACCTCTAGGATGCAGGGAGCAAAGCCACACGCTGCCCCAAGTCCCCCTCCTGGCATACAGCAAGTGCTCTGTAAGGCCTGAATACCCTGCTTTAGGGTGCTGGACTCTGCTTCCTGTGTCCTGGAGAACTCTTTAAGAAGCCACATGGCTTCTGCCAGTGTCTGATGTCCACTGAGACACGGAACACCAGGCCCAGCCTGGCTGAGGAGGTCCCAGAGCGTCTGGGGACCTTGAGCTTTCTTCGCCTGGGAAGGCTGAGGTCCTGGGGGAAGTCTGACTCACCCCTCCATTCTTCACCGAGCGCCCGCACTGTGTGCTCTCATTGGGCTAGTCCGGGAGACTTGAAAACACTCCTGGAAAGGTGAAGGGCCTTTAAGGGGGGCATCTATAGTCTCCTTCTGCCAAATAGAGCAAGATGTTCCCCAGAGGGTCTGGGTTCTCCCTTCCTGTCCTGCCTCCCCAGCTCCCACCCAGCCTGCCTGTCGGCCCTGCAGACACCTCTTCCCTCCCTCCCTCCCCTGCCCGGCTCTGGGAGCTGAGCCTCGGGCCATGCACTTTCCATTAAGGAGATAGCATCCCTTTGCTGAAGCCCATTTGGGATTCATTTTAGTGTTATCTAAAAATCAAATCTACATGGTAATCCTTTTAATGTACTCCTGACTTTAGAAAAAAACAGCTTTGCGCTCCTTCAGGAAAGGTTTTAAAGCATTACCCGGTAATTACTACTCACTCATGAAAACACTGATAGTTTACAATGGATGATGTCTGCCCCTGCATGCGCGTGTGGGCTCACACGGGACCCAGCAAAATAAACCAATTCACTCAGCCCGTGTGCTCCCCCAAATCTCGGGGTGTGAGGGGGACATTTTCGAGGAGATGGGCCAGACTCCTACCCCGCCTCTCCCCTGGGCGGGCTGATGGTGGAAGGAGGCAGCCTCCCAGTCTGACTCATCCGGCTGCCAGACACTTACCCTCAGCTCTTTAATCTGGGGAAAAGCCAGACAGTCCCGGTGACTGGGAGGTACTGCCAGAGGTCATTCAGCTCTTCCCGCATCCTCGAGAGTGGTCTGCCAGGCCAGACCCAAGTCCTCAGCAGCTCCTGTCCACCTATCCCAGGACAGCGTGTCCCTCAGATGGGACTTCTCTAAGGTGCCAAGGCCACCGGCTCCCGGTCCCACCCATGCCTCCAGTTTGGACAGCACACTGAGCTCGGCTGTGCAGCACTTCCTCGGCTCACAGTGAGCTCCTCTGAGGCAGGTCCTCCTCCCCAGAATGCCCACCCCATCCAGCCCCGTGTCACTCCAGGTCATGCCCCGTGGCTCCCCTGCTGGAAGCCACTGTGGCCACCACTGGGAACTCTACCTGGCATTCGAGGCCCTCTCCCACATGCCAGCACCCCCTGCCTGGCACTGCTGGCTCTGTTCCCTGTAGAATCCTAGGAATAATATCCCTTTCCACCCTGCAAATGGATCTCATTTGCTTCTGCCCTAGAGCCTTCCCTCCGCCATTGCTCCAGGAAGAAATGCCTTGTCCTGCCTGTCCCACTCTTCCCCAAAGGTCAGAGTCAACAGTGGAGTTGAGGCTAAGAGCACAGACTTTGAACTCAGAGAACCTACTTTCCAATCTGGGAACTGTCCCAAGTAGCTGGAGGGCTTGGCACAAACCCCTTTACCTTTCCAACTGTCATCTGTGAAATGGGGCCATACTAGTCTCCTTCCACCAGACTATAGTGAGGGTAGAATAAGGTTCTGCAGAGGAAGCCACAGCACAGGGTCTGGCAGCCAGCTGGGACCAACAAACAGGAACTGGTATATTGTTAACATGCACCCTGGGATGCCTTTCCTGTTCTGACACTTGTTTTTTTGCTCTTTTAACTTTTTATCTTGACATTTCAAACTTCCAGATATTGCAAGAATAGAAAGAATTCCTGTATACCCTTTACCCTGATTCTCTAAATATGAACATGTTGCCATATTTGCTTTATCCTTCTCTGTTTATCTATCCATCTACCTCCCTCCCTCCCTCCCTTCCTATAATTCTTTTCCTGGCTCATCTGAGCGTTGGTTTCAGACATGAAGCTCCTATACCCATAAATACTTTGGTTTGATTTCCTGAGAGCAAGGACATTCTCTCACGTAACTCCAGTACAATGATCAAAACCAGGAAATTGTCATTGATCTAATACTATTATCTATCTATTCAGATTTAATCAGTTCCCCCGATA